AAATATCTTTGCAGTAACTGGACAGAATAAATTAAAGTTTTCTACACTCCTAGACACTATAATTGCACAAAAAATAGTTTATAAGTGCAAAAAAAAATGCATTTCGCATGATATATCTCATTTAAAGGTGAAAGTCCTTGTGGCTTACACAGGTGACCAGAATTAACAATTAGTGTCGGCAGTGGAAAACAAACAGGTGAAAACAATCAAACTAAATTTGTGCAACTTCAGGTTGCCACAACCTTAAAGACCTGTATTACATCACCACTCTTTAACAGATTAGGCTATTATTCATAATTAGACAGATTATTTTCCACTACACATAATTGTAACATGTCTGCTTCACTGGTTTGTCGTTACAGATTCTAGTGCTGGAGCTGAATGATGAGTCAGCAGAGCAGACCGTGGAGGCCAAAGTTGTAGATCTGCTGCAGGGCCAGGAGGGCTTTCGCTGGAAGGTAAAGACCTCTTTTGAATTTTTATAGTGACACTAGAAATCTAAATGGATTTTAGTTAAGTTCTACAAATAAGGGAAAATAACTTTTTTTTTCTTTTTTTTTTTTTCTTGAGACTTTTTGTTACTTTCCTCAATTGATTCAGATATGACGGTTTTGTTATAAGCCAGTATTCGGGATACATAATCCATATTTTTCGTTTCCGATCCTATACCAGAATTTTGGATGCCATATGGGACGATGCCAATATCATTCTGATGCCAAAGATCTATTATTATTATCATTATTGTCATCGTTATAATCACAATTATTATTTAAAAATGATCAATACTGTTGTTTTTTATAGAAGTTAGAATACAGATAGAAACAGCAGCGTTCATAAATATGCAAACAAATTTATCCAACCTTCATCCTCCTCCTCATACAGAAGCTGTAGTTTCACATTCACACATCACTTCATTGTTTTGACTCGTAATATTATTGATAAAATCCAAACATGCTAAATATCACAGATTTCTCAAACATATTACTCACTCTAGCTCTCCATTGCTGCCAAACCATATTCAACTTTAGCGGCTTTTTCTTTGACCTGCTGCAGAATTTTTGACACTCAACAAATAACTTCGTGCCTCGGTCAGAAAGGACGAGATAGTTTGTTCGGATGGAGAGAATGCTGAGAGCGATGGAGTGTTTTCTCCATGAGTCTGCCCGTGTTTCCTGTTGCCTTGCGCTCTGCTCGCACTGCAGCAACACATTTCAAAATGATAATCATGTACAGAAATAAAATGTGTTGGATATTCTTTATCATAACTCTGGTTTTACTTGGCCTATCAACACAATTTTAAAAATGGTGAATAGTCCAGAGTCTCTACTTTTAAACACACAGTCATGTTGTGAAGAAAAGAGCCTACCCCCGTCAATAGGCTGGGGTCTAGATATGCTAAATGCGACGCCATCTTGAAACAGTCTACTTAAACGGATGGGGCTATTCAAATTAGAGATCGACCGATACAGGTTTTTGAAGGCCGATACCGATTTTTTAAACATCAGTCTAACTGATACGCTGATACGTGCAGCCGATATTTGGCCAATTAATGAAGCCGATACTGCTTTATATTCCTCCATTAACGTGATAAAAATAAGAATGATAACAAATGTTACACAAGTCTTAATTTAAAACAAAACAAACAAACAAAACATTTATCTAGTGCTAAATGTTCTGTTTTTATTTGTATATTAATCAGATTAAAATATTTTTTACAAAAAATAAAACGGCTATGTTTTAATATCCCAGCATTTTTGATGCAAAAACAGCAACAAGCCTAAATAAAACTGTCAGAGCAACACAGAGAAAAAGAAGAGACACACATACATCTTGCTATCTTTGTGAGGACTTCACACACACAGCGCTCACAGCTTCTCTGCCTCAGTCTGCTGCTCCRGTTTTTAACACCAGGCAAAAAATGCATTTAAAACAGCTGACGTTAACTTTAGATCACAGTTTGAAATGTACACCGAAGAGAACCAGCATCACCACTGCGGTCCCAGTAAACGTGATGTGAGCAGTGTCTGGTTCACATGATGGTGGACGGCTGCGCTCGCTAAAACGTTCAGTGAGAAAAGACCGAAAGCTTTTTTATTATAATCCAGCAGGGAGAACAATAGAGGTGTTTTTCTATGCCTCKTGTGAGCAGCTCCAGCATTTTTAAAAAGAAAAACAACGCAGACACGCTGATTACAGTGCGGTGTGAAAGTGAAAGTAAAACATGTCGCAGCGCTCCCGTCTGAAAAAGAAACAAACACAGCTGTTCTCTCTTCCCTCATATTCCAACAAAGAGGGTAGAAACAGTTAAATTATACAGTTAAAACACATTTATAGTTCATAACTCACCCTTGTTGTTGTTAGCACTCTGTCTCACAACATTAGCTGCTGCGCTCTCCCTGGGGGAAGGGGCGGACACATGCGCTCGCATGACCCAAAGAACGGATCGGCCAGTGTATCGGCCGATACCGATACAAGGAAAAAACGCGAATATCGGCCAAAAATATCGGCCGGCCGATGTATCGGTCGACCCCTAATTCAAATGATGTAAACAATGCTGAGTACTTATACCAGATTAACAGGTTTTTCTTTTTAGAGTAGCCCTGATTTACATGTACTCTATAACACATACACACACATAGATAGTTGAAAGAAAAAGTTTATTTTACCATATTATTTTAACAAAAAAAAGTTATTTTTATTAACAATATAGTCAAAACAAGTAAAAGAAAGTATACTAAAATTACTTTGTCAAAGTACAATACAAAAACCAAGGCTTAAAGCATCATTTTGAAAACATTGTTTAGAAACACACAATAAACTAAAAAAATAAATTTAAAACAAAATTGTGTTCAATAATAAGACTGACAATCATTTGTAAAATAAATGCAAGTCCATAGTTATTCTGTACTTTACTGTATTTTTAGTGTTTTTTTCTGTATAGTTTAATTATTGTCCTTTGAAGAGAATGAGCTCAGTCAGTTTCTGATGAACAGACTCTTTTTTTAATCTGAGGTGTGTAATCTGACAACATGTTTCTGTCTGATGGTGTAGTAACTGGTCACCAGGAGTTGGATGAGGTCAAAGTAATGGTTGTCCATGCCATATTGAGACTCCACTATATGTTTTCTGAGGCACAGTGGATCCATATCCCCACATTCATTTTTTACACAGACCAACACCGTGTGTCGGGAGCAGACATTTGTTGCTTTAGAAAAGTTCATGAAAAGCCTGATGCCTTTTTCTGCTGCAGTTAAAAGGTGCACTACACCTTYTGAGGGTGTAACAAGCCCACCTTTATTTTTCATTTGAAGCAGCTGATACAAATCATCATATTGTTGGACAGCATTAGAGACCAAAGATGATTTACACACATCACAACACACCTCAGTTACAATCTGACGCACCATAAAACCTGCAATGTTGTTCATAGCAAAGGGAGCAAGTTTTGGTGAGATCCATGTGTTGTACATGTGCTCCATGTTGTTGTCCATAAAATGTGAAAAATAAATATATTTACTGTTACAGAGCTTTAATAAGCAATCCACAAAGCAAATGTCAGGCTATTTTTCTTTCTTTTTTCTTTTGCTTAATAAATTTTATTAAGCAAATAAAATAAACTTTAGTAAGCAATCAGGAGTGCAAATCAACACTTCTGTCTTTGTTTTAATGGCACACCTTGACTCAACAGAAATACAAAAACAAACACACAAACAAAAAGTTTAATTTCACCCTGCAGCAGTCGCAGATTTCATGTAGTTCACAACTGATTTTGATCCATTTCTTGTCAGTACTAATTCTGAACAAACACAATGCTAAACATAGACTTTTTCTTTAAAAGAAAAAAATTACAGATGAAATGTTATGAGGTCCGATCATTTTCCACTACGACTGCTGCAAGCGAACGCTGCACAGTGACACGGGATTGTGTGTCTGTGTTCAATGGTTGAATGACTGTGTCAAGATGGAGTCGCGTTTAGCATACCCAAAGTCACGTGATAGCTCCTCTAGTAAATATACCTCACTGGCTTGCCTGCTAGCTGGCTGCAAACTGGAGTGGATTTCGTGAGCGAATGGGTGCCTCATTCCTCTGTGTCTCACTGAGACTCTCCTCAGTTCAGGTAATCCATTTCACAGTTTGCAGCCAGCTAGCAGAGCAGCAGGCCTGGAGTCAGTTCTGGAGATATTTCAGCAGACTTTACAGCACAGACTCGGCTCGTGGATCAAAAATCTCCCCATGTTGGATGGTCACATGAAATTTGAACGTGTTCAGGAAGTCTGCGTGACAAATTGTCTCACAAAATAAGAGTTGAACTCGACCTCTTTTGAATGTCATTGTGGGCCTTTCCAACACATTCTCAGGAGCTCTAGAGGTGAATTTTAACTCTTAATTTTTAACTGAATCTGTTGTCTATCAGGGCCACACTCAGCTGGACGTGCGGGAGGAACCGGTGCAGTTCCCCCCAGGCTTTCAGCCCTTTACTCTGGTTCAGTGCCAGCCTCCTGCTGTGGTCACTGCCCTCAGTCTGCACTCTGAGTGGAAGCTGGTTGCCTTTGGTACCAGCCATGGCTTTGGCTTATATGATTACCAACAAAAGAACACCGTTCTCATCAAGTAAGACATGGCACACAGAATTACACATTCACAGAATTTACACCTTTTTTTCACAGTTTTACCAGGTGTCTTTTCTTTTAATTGAAATCATTTGGACTTATCACCTTATCGTTTTATTACAGATGGTTACCATCTTTTTAAGAAGGAAAACATCCTAAAACTAAATGTCTTTCAGTGTGAATGCAGAATTTAAAAACACTTATCAGATCCAAAAGCATCTTAATTCAAACAGGAGACTAAGGTTGTATTCACACCTGATAGTCCGGCAGACTCGGTTCGATTGGGGACCAAAACTGCAAGCTTTGTTTACATTTTCTGTTGGTGCGGTTTGAATTCACACTGCACTTTCTCAGCCGAACTAAACCCTGTAAAGAAGCGGTTTCCGCCCTCACCTGTGGGGGCGCTGCACAAAGAACCA